TGTAGGGAATATTTGGTCCTTTCGTTGTTGCAAATGTTGCTACAGTGGATATTTGAAACACTGATTTCCTTCCCCTTTTTTCTTTTATCTAGATAGCATTTAGTGTTGGCCTTAATTTAGTTGTGGTTGTAATGGTCATTTGATCCATGTGATGTTTAGGTATAATTTCAACAAGGTTGCACAATATAAGCAACTTACTTTGGAGGAAGCAGAAGAAAAAATGAAAAACAGAAAAAAGACTGCTGATGGCTATCAAAGATGGATGATGAAAGCAGCGAATAATGGACCTGCTGCATTTGGTGAAAAGGATAATTTTGATGACAAGGATAGTGGTGCAGCTGGTGGGAGGGGAAGAAGGAAAGCGTCAGCTGATGAAGGTGAAGGTAATGTCTCGGATAAAGGGGATGAGGATGAAGAAGATGAGGTAGCAAGGAAGAATAGACTTGGCCTGAACAAAAGAGGTGGTGATGATGATGATGAAGAAGGTCCGAGGGGAGATGATCTTGATTTGGATGATGATGATATTGAGAAGGGTAAGGGTTTCTTATCATTACTTAATACTTAGTTGCTTCTCTAATCCACGCAACTATATCTTCTTACTAGCGCTTCCATGCTAAGTTTTTTACATGCCTTTAAAAGGTAGGAGTATTAGGATGAGGTGAATATGGGTTAGGAAATTCAAAATTGATTCCAAAGATGATTTATCCCATGGATGGTCATGGAACTTGGGTGGTGTTTAGTTAATTGGAATGAGCTTTGAAATGGAATCCTTAATTCCTAAAAGGAGCTCGTTCTAGTGTTTGGTTGGCCTTTTTAAACGTTAGGAACATGTACAGGTGGAATACCTAATTCCTGTTTCTATTCCAACTTCATACAGTGTCTCATCCTTAAGCCAAGATGTCTCCTTCCTTTTTGTAAGCATGTGAGATTCCCGATGTTGCTTATTAGTTGCATCAGGGTAGGTAAAAAATTTGCTATTTCCTGTTTCATATGCCTTTGATTTCTTGTAGGTGATGATTGGGAGCATGAAGAAATTTTCACAGATGATGATGAAGCCGTTGGTAATGATCCAGAAGAAAGGGAAGATTTAGCACCAGAAGTACCAGCTCCTCCAGAAATTAAACAGGTTTGTGATGTGCAAGTTCTGCATTTGCAAGTTGGGGGCTTTCATGGCATGCTTCTACTTCCACTTTTACATTGCTTGTAAACATTTCAAGTCTTAACATCACCAGTAAACCATTTTTTATCAATATAATACCTAATTGACTATTAACATTTTAAATCTGAGCATTGAGCTTATGTTAGATAACAGCAAGCATTCCCAGTATTTCTCAGCTTGGTTATATTTGTCTTTGTTTCCAATAGTTTCGTAATAGTATTGCAAGAGAGTTACAGGATTTGGAATGATCTCTCTTGGTTGTATTTATTGGTATGATTATGAACTTTAGACGTCACTGTATCTGAACTTTTTTTTTTGGGCAGGATGAAGATGATGAGGATGAGGATAACGAAGAAGAGGGGGGGCTAAGCAAATCAGGAAAAGAGTTGAAGAAGCTGCTAGGGCGCGCTGGTGGGCTTAATGATTCGGATGCGGAAGATGACGATGACAGCGAAGAAGTGAGTTATTTTATTTCTGTATGTTTTTATGCCTGGTCATAGTAATTTGCTAAGCAGTAAGCTCAAGGGCATCCATGTTGATAACTTGATATTGTATATTATCATATCGAACTCTAATGAGACCCAATTGGCACCTCCGTTGACTTTAACTTGGAGTTCTGTGAAATAATAAGGTGCATATTTCTTCTTTATTAACGGGTTTTTTTCTTTCTGTTCTTTTCTAGATGGATGAAGATATCGGTGTCTCACCTACGGTAGCTCCAAAGCAGAAGGATGCAGTTAAAGAGGAACCTGCTGAGAACAGTCCTGCAAAACCAACGCCATCTGCATCTGCCAAGGGAACCCCGACGACCTCCAAGTCAGCAAAAGGAAAGAGGAAGCTAAATGGCGATGATGTCAAGCCAGCTAATGTTGCACCTTCAAAGAAGGTGAAGACCGAAAACGTATGCCATTTCTTCAATATAAGATTTCTTTCTATGTATCACCTTCATGTTTTAATTAAATTATTGAAACTCTACTGGTGTCTTTAAAGCTCACTATCAGTAATTTATTTTCTTTATTTTACTTATGTTGTAATTTGATCAGGAGCAAAAACCGTCCGAACCTGCGCCTCCTTCTAAGAATAATGTACCTTCGAAAGGTACACCATCATCATCCACTAAAGCTGCAGTGACATCGTCTGCTGGACCTGTCACTGAAGAAGAAATTAGGGCTGTTCTAATTCAAAAGACACCAGTGACCACTCAGGATCTTGTTGCTAAATTCAGGGCGAGACTCCGAACCCCCGCGGTATGATCTTTCATGCTTTACAAGTTATGTAGAGTTTTAGAATTGATTGTACAATCTATAGGCTTTGTGGTACTGGCGGAGATGATTTGCACTAGTAATATGTCTAGCAGTCTCATCAAAAAATGGTAATCATCTCTTGTTTCTGCTTATTCTGCAGGATAAGAACGCTTTTGCAGAAATTCTGAGGAGAATTTCAAAGATTCAAAAGACGAATGGGTCTAACTACGTTGTGTTGAGGGAGAAGTGATTATATCCTCATTACAGCTCATTCTCTTATAGGGGTATCAGCCATGACAGTCTTGAGGAATCGAAATATAACATCATTTTAATGCGAGGATATTGGCCTCTTTTCTTTTTCTTTTTTCTTTTTTTTTTTTTGGCTTTATCCTTTCCTGTACAAGTACAGCACAGAATGTATAAGGTTACGGGCTATATAAGTTGTAACCTCATAGAGCCTTATGTAGTGCCAGGGTGTTACATCCTATGCAAGTAATAAACAAAATATATTGTAGTATTCATTTGATCTCTCCCTTTAGATTAGCAAAAAATAAAAAGAAACAGTTTTTTTTTTTAATTTTAAATTTATCAAATCAAGATTTTTCCTCTCCAATTTGAGCTCCATTTGTATTATTATTATTATTATTATGAATTATGCTAGGAAAATCAATTCAAATCTCAATTTTTATGAACCAAGAGTTGTTATTTTTTTTTTTTTAGGGTGTTTAAAATATTGTCATGTCAATTAATGAAAGAGATTGTATTTATCAATAAAAAAGTGATAATTCATGTCTCGTCAATTGATATATAAGAGTTGAAATCTGAGTTGGTGTATGAATTGGTATATTATCATTAATGAACCATGATCCAATGATCCAATGTTCACGAGATGAATGGTTGTGATCGGATAACTTGGTACCTTTCATGTACATAGAAAATGTATAAACCATGGCAGTATCAGACATGACATTTACTTGCAAAGAATGGTGGGAGATTCTTAGAATGCTGGATCTTTGTATTAATAAAGAGCAAAGTTTACCTTCAATCTCTTGATTACTCAACTAGCTTATTCACCAGTGGTATGTTTGCTCTAATTACCAGACTACCATAGATTTTATCACCCATTTAATTTGTCAGAAGATAAGAGAGTACCTCGGATTCGACTTCTAATTGGGCAACATGTCTGGGCTATCGTAAGATGGGGGAGATGAGCGACGAAGTACTGTTTCATGCAAAAGATGTAATACTAATACATTACTTATCTCGTGAGCATGACAATAAATGATTAAAAATAGCAAATTGGCTTGTTCTGGTACAATGATATTGTACACAACAAAAAGAATCATATAATGGTAATAACTAAGCTCTCATTGTTCTCACAATTGTCCCTATATATATATATATATATATGTGTGTATATATACAGTGACGGAGCTGGTCTTTCACTTCAGTAAGGACGTACATTAAATTTTTTTAACAAATTATCTTAATAGGGGCATATAAGAAAATATATTTATTTTAGTAGAGGCATATATTATTTCAGTGGGGGCGGTTGCTCCCGCTCATTTTCAAGTGGCTCCGCCATTGTATATATATATGTGAGAACAATCTTTCTTCTAGGCCTCTCCGTCTCAAAAGATCATTATAATCTCACAGAAACTATCTCTGTATCAATGAGAGTTAACTAAGGGCTTATTCTTTTAGAGTTTAACTTGAGTATAATTCTTGAGTAAGTAATCTATCCAGTTTCCAAGCCGCTAACGTTGCACTTCCAAAGACGGTGAAGATGGAAAATGTATGCCATTTCTTTTGTGAGATTTTCGTTGTGATCTATATCAACTTAAAATTTTTGTTAAATTACCAAATTATAAACTATTCTGGCGTTTTGAACCTCACAAGGAGTAATTTATTTATTTTGTAATTTGATCAGGAGCAGAAAATTTATGAGAACTTGCATATGCTTCTAAGAGTAACTTGCCTTCAAAAGAAACATCAGGTACATCAACATCGTCCTCTAAAACTGTGGGGACATAGAAATTAGGGCATTTTTAATGCAAAGGATATCAGTGACGACATATGAGATGCGTTTAAAACTCGTTCTAAAATGATTTTATTTTTTGTATGAAAATAGAAATGAAAACGTTTTCAATCTCAAATAGAAATTATTTTTAAAAATATGTTTGGTAGTTTTATCAAGAGATTATTTTCAGTATAAAAAAATCTATTAATGTCTCTCTCTCTACTCAAGAGAGAAAAAAACGGAAACAAAAAATAAAAGACAACTAAAAGTCTTTTTTTATTTTTCTCCCATTTTACACTAAACCAAAAAATCGTTTTCATTTCTGTTTTTTGTCTTCAATTGTGCTAAATGCCGTTTCTCTCTCATTTTCATTTTTTTTCTCAAAAAACGTGAAAAACAAAAATAAAAACAACTCCAAACACAACCATGATCTTGTTGATGGAGGTATCATCTTTCATGCTTTACAATTGCTCTTGAACTCATTTCCCAAACATTTTAAATCTAGATTTTATTTTTTTTGGTCGAGATTGTAAATGTAGGTTTTATTGTTCAATACTACAACATGACTTTTGTGGTACTGGCGGAAATGCTGTGCAGTAATAGATGTACGTATTTACCAGTGACCATGCCCGTTTAGGCTGGCCTACCATACAATATATACGTGCAATATAAGTAACATTCTCTTCTTCCTGTTTATTTTGCAGGATAAGAAAGCTTTTGCAGAAATCATGAGGTGAATTTCAAAACTTCAAAAGATGAATGGATCTAGTTATTGTTGTGTTGAGGGATAAAGTGATTGGATTGGACCCACTATTGTTCACTCTTACGAAGGGATGGTCAGAAGATATTGTAGCATTCATTTCAATGCCTCTCCCTTCTTTCCATTAGAAAAACCAAAGAAAAAAAGAAAAAAACAAACAAATAAATGAACAGGGAAAAAAAGTGTTGGATATCACTGATAGTGATATGTTTTATAACCAATTATATAGATTGACATATAAGATTGTGCGGCACATGTGTTCGTAATCTCAGAGTTGATATTTGAATTTATAATCGGTTGAAAATTAGAGTTATGATCACCATTCACCAATGTTGATATATCAAATGAAGATTTTCATCCTTACTTCGAGCTCAAGTATTTTTAATTTTTAATTTTTAATTCCCCTCACAAGTAGTAGTGCCTTAACTTGGTAGGATTTTTGCATGGAAATCGAGCAAAATCCCATTACATAAATTCATAATAGGCCATCCATGAAGGGCTCTAAAAGCAACACCAAAACAAGGATAACACACCAAAAAAAAAACATCTTAAAAAACAAAACAAAAAAAACAATAACAAAAAAGTACTTAATCCTGTCCCTAAGAAAGCACAAGGGAAAGCAAACTATGGGGTACTACATCTTAAAAACGGATCATGAGGATGCCCAGTAATCCAAACACAAACAGAACAGGGCTTGGGCTTAACTGGGCCGATCCAGATGGAGATGTGGGCCCAGCAGCGAGGGTAGCTTTTTGGGCCAAGGGTTCATGTTCTTCTGATGAAGTTTCTTGAAGAATTCCAATTCCAGAATAGTTCTGCTGAGGCTGCACGTCCACGTGTAACTTGAGGCCGTTCTTGCAATGCTCAGTGCTGCTGCTCGCGAAGTAGCGGACTTCTTCCGCCTCCAGGGAGATGACATCTAGGCCGTCCGTGAACAACCTGATGGGATTGCTCAAATCGCACGCCTCATATTCCTCCCTGCTTCCCAGCTCAGCTAAACTACCCTGCGCCGCGGAGTAGGTAAACCCTGCACCAACCACAACGTCACAGCCACCTCGTGCATTTTTTCCCCCTCAAAACTGTAAATATCCAACCACCTCGTTTTTTTTCTTTCTTTTCTTTCTTTTTCATTCCTTATTCATTTATTAATTAATTCTGATAAGATGCTCGTTGACTGGTGGCTTCTCCGAGCACTCGTGTCGGTAATTCTCACTTAATTTATTCCTCTTCCAGTATTTATTTTATTTTTCTTTTTCTTTTTATTTTTTTTTTCCCTGTGGTCCAGTTCTTTTTGTACTAAAATTAGAAATTTCTGAAAACCAGCTCAAGAATGAGGCTTTAGCTTTACGAATAAAGGCTACATTTTCTTAGTCAATAGAACAGCCAATAGGACCAATACACTGAAATTCCTAATCCTCCTAACAAGTTCAAAGGATTTTTTTTTCCCCTGTGAATTCGTTGCTAATGGTCCAAAGAAACTGCAAAAATGTAACTATCGGCTTGCCCATATCTTAGAGCTGGTTCATGAATTAGAACCATAATATTATAATTATTTTTTATTTATGTGTATTTTATGAGAAAAAATATTATAACGGAACTATGATTCGAATTAGAAAATAAATTCTCCGGCCAAACAGGACATTAATCTTAATTTTATCCCTTTGATTTTTTTTTTCCTGTTTCTTTCTGCCAACCAAAAGTCATAAGATTTCCCCCCCTGTTATATGTATGTGAGTGCGTATATATATATATGTATGTATGGATCTACACTCTACAGTCTATACTACAATTTCTAGAAGCAAAGTTGGAAAATATATATATATATATATATATATACAAAGAAAAAAGAAGCAAATAAAGGAGTGAGGACATCGAATATGATATATGCACGTGAACAAATGGAAAGGGGCAAGAAAAGAATATAAGTGCTGTAGTTTTTATAAAAAGGTATATTGAGGAGTGAGAAAGATGAGAGAGAGAGACTCACAGATCTTATCTCCGACCCTAAAGGTTTTGCCGGAGGACCAAGACGGGACGTCGGAAGAAGAGTCCCAGCCAGGGTCTCCACCAACCACGTGGTGAACTTGGGCTCCTGAAAGGCCCATCGTCAGTGCCACCACCACCAGAACCACCGCGGCCCAACCCACCACCTTCACTCCAGCCATATATGTTGCTTCTCACTACAAAAGCTTTATATTTTTGCCAAACAAAAATAAATGAAATGAGAGAGAAAGGGTGGGACTTGGGAGTGTATGGCAAAGGCAAAAGGGGGCTTCCTTAAGTAATTTGTTTGGCTGAGTAGTAGATTAGTTTCCACGCAATTTCGTTGCCTTCGACCTTTACTTAGCGTCCTTTTTTCTTGGGTAATTCGTGCTATTATTAAACATTTTTAAAGCTCCCAAAAACTGTTGGACCCACCCAAAAAATCACTGTATACGAATTTGTTTGTTGGCTGGATCGTAGCTCCTCTTCTCGTTAATTTTATCGATTCAAATTTTATTACAGTAAAAAATACTTAAAAATAATTACATTTAATTTTTTTATTATAATAAAAAATTCTCACATAAAATCACATATCAATTTAAATTAAAAACTTGAATCAGCGAATTAAACGGATTCTAATTTCATAAAATTCGATCAAAATTATATTGAAATGAAAAGGTTTATAAAATTAATAAAATCTTGGATAAATATGACGGTTCAAAAGAAAACTTTACCGATTGAGCATTTTTATTAGGGGTGGTAATTCGTGTCGCGTGTCGTATTCGTGTCGTGTTTTGATCGTTTCTTTTTAAATTTACAGTCAACCCGAACACGACCCGTGACACGAAATTTTTTAAAAATCGCAACACGAATACGACACGACCACTTTACGAGTTGACACGACACGATCCGAAAATGACCCGTGACACGAAATTGACCCGTGAACCTGAAATTGACACGAAAATTGTATACTTTTATTTAGTTTTTTACATATTAAAAATAACTTAAAATTCATAACACACTAAAATACAATAACATCCATTAAAATTAAGCAAATAATAGTATAAGATTTTAAATATAACTATAGTGATATCATAAGTTCAAAATAAAATTTAAAAAATCAAATGAAAAATATATGTATTTTTTAATTTTTTACGAGTTTCGTGTCGTGTTCGGGTTAGGCGGGTCTAATCCGAAATTGACCCGTGTTTTTCGTGTCAATTTCAGGTCAACCCAATTTTAATCCGAACCTCTTTTTTCTCAACCCTAACCCGTAAAATTCGTGTCGTTTTTGAGTCGTGTCGTCGTGTCGTGACCCATATTGTCGGCCATAATTTTTATATAATTCTCCTCTATCTTTTCAAGGGGACTGTTAGGTTAAATCTTACTTACCTTTCTTTTTCTCTCTCCACTTTTTTTTTTTTTTTTTAGGTGTGTTTCTTGGGTGTTATTAAATATTTGAGATTTGTAGCTCCCAAGACTGTTAGACTGTTTGTTAGTGGTCATTTCAAAAAAAATAATAAAAAATCTCTATCCACGAACTTGTTAGATAGTTGGATCCTTTGAGCTCGCGCGTGCTTATCGTTCGAATTAACGGAAATACCCTCTAATTATCATGTTATATTTTAACTACTCAATTTCCACGTGTATGTATAACTAGACTCTTAAGAAAAATGAGTGAATGAAAACCAAAAAGCAAATTTTTATCAAAATAAAACAAAAACGCAAATAATTTACCAAACGGGCCAAAAGTTGAAGAAACTTGGTTAAGAACTGATAGTTTATATATTAAATACTTTTTTTTAAAAATTTAATCTTAATAAAAGGTTCTCCCAAATTAGCTATATGGAGTATTGTACCATTTTAATCTATAATTCATAACGGACGGTTATTTGTTGTCTTTGGTTACTTTAGCGATCAAACTGAAAATATGAGTTTCTCTCTTCAATTTTTAATTACGTAAAAATCTCATCTTTTTTTATTTATAGACTAATCATTATTATCTTATACTCAAATAGTTGTTACCGAGATTGATTATGTGTGATGAGAGTAATGTCAAAGATATAATTCTGAGGTTATGTTTGGTAGAGGGATTCGTTTCCTGATTCGAATCATGATTCGTGGTTCGCTACAGTATTTTTTCTCACAAAAAATTCACGTAAATCGAAAATAATTCGAATCACATGGTTTGAATTCCCCAACCAAACGTCCCGAAACCCTCAATAACTGAGTACTCCTCGAGTGTTCACCGGTGACACACGTAATTTTTTAAGAGATTAAGGCCTTATTTATTTTGTAGATTTGAGTTTTCAATTCGAGCTGAGATGTAATATTTTCTAAGAGTTTTTTATTGTAGTAGAAAAAATTAAATGTGATATTTTTTAAGAATTTTTTACTGTAAAAATTTAAAATTAAAAACTCGAATCGGTGAAATTAACGAGGTCTAAAAATATCTTCTTGATGTGACATTCTACACTCGTTATCGTTAAGGATGTGAGAGCGCACTTGTCGGCCTCTGCAAATAACATGCCTGCACCTTTGTACTTTGGCTGTTGCCTTTAATTCCAAGGCCACGTTACAATCTTCTGTTACATTATCATTCATTTTAGGTGAGTACATAAATTATAGATTTATAATGCACGTGTCACATAAGATATTTTTTTTTTTATAGAAGTGATGGCTTTGCTTTTGTTCTCGCACTAGTTTGAATTATGCAACTTCCTCCTCCTTTACAATTCATTTCTGTATTTCTCAATTAGATATATACAATTATTTTACTTTTCTAAAACTTGATATTACTAAGATCTCGTTCATTTTATGAATTTAAATTTTTAATTTGAGTTGAGATGTGATATTTTTTAAGAGTTTTTTACTATAATAAAAAAAATTAAATGTGATATTTTTAAAGAATTTTTTACTGTAAGAATTTAAACTTAAAAACTCAAATCGATGAAATTAACGAAACCCAGCTACATACGAATTTGAATTGGTGGTCAGTCGTCTATTATTTTTCCAACCGAAACGTAAAAAGTGGGAGTGCAATCTGAAGATAAACTAGCACGTTGTTTCCTGTTACCTAGAAGGCGAATAGGCCCAACTTTTCAACTTTTTTGTTTTTTTTTTTTCTAAACATATGAAACCGGGTAGAACTAACACACAAGAGAGTGCACTAATTTATAAGGAGTAATTACAATCATATAGTGAAGAAAATGAAGTGTTGTATATTTACCTCTTGGCCATTAAAATTGTATTTTTGATTTAGCAAGTAATTCCCCATGAATTGGAGAGTAAATCGTTTTTCTTTTTATTCTCTTTCTACGTGTGACATGTATATATGCATTTTTTTTTTAATTTTGGAGGAAAAAGGTGGTATTTTATTAAATCAAATCAGCATGAATAAACGGTGACGTAAATTTTAGGTAAGAATTATAGAATATTATATGAAAAAAAATTATACCCATAGAATTCTACTTTAAACCGTTAAATCGTTTCAAATTATATTAATTTTACATTTATTTTTTTCATTTTGAAATGATTTTGATGAGATTGAGAAACATGCGCCATGATAAAGATATTCTACCACACACTGTTAAAGTATAAAATTATTGTTGACCCACCTCCTAACAACTTAACTTTTTGGGATGGATTGGTAAACTAACATGGTATCAGAGCGGGAGGTCTTGAGTTCAAACCCCCATAATTGCACTATTTATCCCCATTTAAAAATTATCATGTGTTGGGTCTTTAATATATCTTGGGTTTAAATATTCACGTGTTGGACTTTCTAATTAATTTACTCACACGATTGCCCATTGTTCAGCCCACACGTGAGAGGGAGTGTTAAAGTATAAAATTATTATTGGCCCACCTCCTAACAGCTTAAACTTTTAGGATGAATTGGTAAACTAACATACCACACACTTTTTATCATCATACATATACGCGCACCATGTTTTTTTTTTTTTTTTTTTAAGGTAATTACATGCATGAAGTCTTCCAATTGCATTAAATAACATCACCGAGAGTGATCCTTCATTCGTTTTCTTTATTATGGGTGAATCTACAAGAGATTACTGTTATCATTTTGTCTAAACCAGACAGATATGAATCTCAATTTCCCAAATATATACTATTTTTCAAGCATATATACTAAATAAACACAAATAGACGTGAACTCAAACGACAGGAATTGATACGCATACACATTTGATTTCTTTAAACTAAAAAAAAAAGAAGACGGCGCATACATTAATACACAGACACAGAGTCTTGGTGATCAGTACTGAATGCTTCCTCCGGAGAGTAAATGATGAAAATATCTGGTTCTTCCTTAAAGCTTACCCGCTTAGTCAACTTCCCATTTCTGCTTCTGCTCATAGAATTAATAGAAGCCCCATTTTCTTGATCAAGTTGATGATCAGTACTAGTACTCTTCACCGGCGGCTCAAGAGAGAAGCTGTCTCTTGCTTTAGACGCCAAACTCCGATAATCGAACGGCCTAGAACACGCAGACGCCGAGGGGTGCACCTTTCTTAAGGAATGTCTGAACACATACAATTCACCTCCACTGTGGAAATCTGGCCTCGCACCTGCAGGGGAATTCAATATCCAATCCTCCAGAGTCTTTTCCGACCTGATCTTCTTCCGGTGATGATCAGCTGTTGGATGCAGCGTTAATGCATCAGTAGTACTTCTCTTTTTAGCCCTCTGATCATCGTGATATGTCTTCTGCAGGCATCCTGCAGGCCGTCTGATCAAGTCCAAGATCACTGGACATGATTGAGTTGAGTTCTTATTACCATCAACATGGCCAAATGATGAATCATTTGGCTCTAGATGATTATGATCATGATCAGAACTAGTACTTGGGTTCCTGAAACTGCATAGATTAGCTCCCATTCATGCAGAGCATAAAGCCTATGTGGCGTTGAATTACTCTAAATTTCTGTGGGAATTATATATATAAAGATCTTTTGAGACGGAGATGCCTAGAAGAAGGATATAGCCTTGAGCACAATGAGATTCTTAGTTATTACCATTCTATAATTTTTATTTCTATTTTTTTTTTAATTTGTCGTGTACAATATCTGTATACTAGAACTCGTGAATTTGCCATTCTTGATCATATTAAACTTTATAGTTGTAATCAGCAAAGACTAAACATATTATTATATATCTTTTGCATGAAACAATAGTGCTTCTCTTGGCTTATCTCCCATCTAACTATAGCCAAAACATTTGCCGATATTTGAAGTCGGATTCCTGGTATGACAAATATGGGTGATAAAATCAATGCTGTTTATGGTAATTAAAGCAAATTAACGACTAAAAATAAGCTAGTTGGGT